AGTAGTACGTTGGGCGTACATGCAGGTACGCACTGCGTATACCACCTTGAGCTAGTACGCTTAGCATACAGAAGAGTACGCCCCGCGTACTCATCAATTATTGGCTCGGTGTGTTTTGGGCCTCGAGTTGGGCCAAGCAGTGGATTTTGGGTCTTTGGGCCTTAGTGGGCCATCAAAAGTCAGATGTTTTGGGCCAAGAATATGTTTGGGCTTAGGGTAAGGCCCATTAGAATAATTGGGCCCAATTTAGCAAAATAGGCTATTAGTGGGCTTGGAAAGCCTACCCAGTGTTGGGCCTTTTTGTATTATGGCTTTGGGCCTTAGATATGGACCTAGATAGACTAGGGGTAAAATGTTCATTTTACCCTAAGGAGGATTATTAATTTGGGCTAATTGTCATTTTAGCTAATGGTAGCTCCGGGAGTCGAGAGACCAGCAGTTCGGGGATCCTCCAGCTAGCTGCGAAGGGTTATTCGCAGGGTTCTACATTCAACGTGTGAGGTGAGTCTCCTCACTGTTTTTATGGGTCTAAGGCACCAATGACAACCCATTTAGTTTATGTGTGATAGGAAGACCCGTGGGTTAGCCCTTGGCATTATGCATGAAAGACCAGAAGGCAGCTCCTGACACACAATATGTTATTATGTATGGTAGGAAGACCCGAGGGTTAGCCCTAGGCAATATATATGAAAGACCAGGAAATGGCTCCTGGCACACTGTATGCTATTATGTATGAAAGACCAGGAGGTGGCTCCTGGAACAATGTATGCTGATTAGCTAAGTAGAGTAGTAAGTATGCTAGTTGTCTTTGTGATGCTTGCATGGAAGACTAGGAGGTTGCTCTTGGCACTTGTCTGTAAGACCGAGGGGGTGGCCCTAGGCTTAGCAAAAAGACCACGTGCGGCCCGTGGCATAATGGCAAGACTATTTTTGGCACATAGCACCTTACTTGATTATTGATATCGTTGATATGTATGGCTCACAGTATGTATGACATGTATGGCCCAGTTGATATTGTAACGCCCGCAGATCCGGGCTAGTTTAGAGACAATAAGCGTCAAAAATGAGTTTTTGATGAAAGATTATTTAGAAGGATTAATCTTAACCAAGTTTTACTATATGTTACAAGGGTTCCATACATATAAAGAACGCCGAAATCCGAGTTATAACGAAGAAGTTATGGCCCGTCGAAGTTTTACGGCAAAATCGAAATGGCACCGGGAGACGTAAATAGTCAATTTAGGATAGAGGACTTTTTAGCCTTAGTAATCTAAACGAAAGTCGTAGAATATGTTAAACTGAGAGCGTCCATAAAAAGAACGCCCAAATCTGACTTCGTATGAGGAAGTTATAAATTTTCTAACATTTGGCATAGCAGTGCATGACCTGAAACTCGAATTTTAGTTCGAGCGGTTTTTGGCATACGCGACCTAAATGATAATTGAAGATCTCATTAATAGGAACTCAACGGTAAAAAGACAGACGAAAACAGAGTCAGTATGTAGAAGTTATGAATTTTACGCGGACATTTAACAGTATAATCTCCTCGTACTGTTAAATTTAAGATCGGTCGAGAATCAGCCGACGGAGTCAAAATGAAAGTTGTAGATATTATTTTTACCTATGCGTGGATATAAAGAACGTCAAAAACGGAAGTCGTATGTGAAAGTTACGGATTTTAGAAGTCGGAAGTGTGCTGTGCGAAAATAGGTGATGTGACACAATCTTGGCCATTGCTTTCTCCCTAAGTCTTGCCACTAGATGGTGACATGTGGCACCAAGTTCAGCCATTTTTCACCCTATAAATAGAACCTCTCCTACCCTCATTTTCTTCACACCTTTCCCATTCTTTCTTCTCTTTACTCTCTCTCTAGAACCTCTCTCTAGCCCCCAAAATCCACCGAAAAGCCTAGGGAACCTCCCTAGCATGAGGCGTAAGCCCCGGAGTGTTCGACGGCTCCGAGAAGAAGAGCTTTTCGGCTCGGGAACGCTGCTCCAAGCAAAGCCCGGTTTTCTATAAAACCCGTTGTAAGTGAGCTACGCCTACGCTATTTTTAATATAGCTTTTATTTAATTATAGTAACGTTATTAGGAACTTATAATAAGTACTTGGGATATTGTTATGGGTTATATAAGTATTGTTTAACGCTTATATAATAGTAATAATAGCTAGACTATTAATTAGTCTCGGTGAATAATAGACTAAACTCTAGTAGTAATAATACTAGGTTTCGTCGAAAGAAATTATTTTTTTAAGAAGCGAACCCCTGTCTAAGTTCGGAATCACCACCTTTTTAAGTGAGTGCATGGTCCCTTTCATCTTACACATAGATATGAAGTATTTAATATAAGTTACGTGTTATGTGTGCATATTGTCTGAATACTTGCTGTCTATGCTGGGTGAAATATTTTTATACACGTTTTAAATGATTTAAACTGTATATATGTATTTTATATCTACAAAATGTGTTGGGTAAAACATGGGTAGATGTAATAGTTGCTATGTGACCAAATAAAATAATGAGAGGCCTCAATATAGATGTTATTGATGATCCAGTCATCTAGTAGAGTATAGATGACGACCACAAACTATTCTAGACAGTCCAGTGGAACGCTAGCAGGCTCGCAACTTGTAGGTGTTTATTTGAACTGTTTGTTCACCAGTAGTACTCCAGCCCCCACATGGTTGCCTTATTTGACATGAATTGCTGAGGAACCCCCGAAGCATGTGTTGTCACCCCGATGATAGTCCTTAGACTAGGTCCCTTGTGTTAGATGTTTTAGGGACGTAAAGTGAGGATAACGGGAACGGGTAATCAGGTTTGTTTGGTTTGATAAAGTTAATAAACTTATTTATTGTGGGTTGAAAACCCTATGTATTCACCAGGTTTCCCAACCTGACCCACTCAGTTTATTTATATCACAGGTGTTGATATGAAGTCACATTACACTAAGAGATTAAGGAGATATAAATCACTAGTGATAATGAATGTAAGTTCTATTTATGCTTATGTTTCTGTATTGACGATGACATCCCAAATGTTTTAAAATGAATAAAAATACTTTTCTTCGGAAATGCTTTGATAATGTATTTATCATGTTTTACTGGGAACAAATTTCGCAACATTTTTATTAAAAGAGGTACTATGATTTTTATAAACCATAAACAAGGCCGTGAAAATGGGGATGTCATAGATATGTATGGTATGTGGTATTTGGGGAACTCTCTAAGCTTCGTGCTTACGGTTTGCAGTTTTGGTTTCAGGTATCTTCAGTTTTCAAGAAATAGGAGCTCGAGACGATCGGAACGCATTCACCCATGTTATTCTACATTATGTGATCTTTGGGATTAGACTATGATATTTGTTTTAATTGAAATGTTTTCAATGTCTGGAACAAAGATATTAAAGGTTTTCTTATATTAAAAATGAAATTTTTTGCCTTAAATTTTGGGATGTTACATTGGAAGGCTAAAAGTCTTTCAATCGAGGGTTGTCTTACTTTGATTAAGTTCATCCTGGGGTCCTTAGGGAGTTACCTTATGTCTATGTTTCTTGTTCCTATCACGGTGTTGAACTCTTTAGAAATATTGAGAGCTTCTTTCTTATGGGGAGTGGATTTTGATGACTGGTGCATACATTGGGTTCAGTGGGATAGGGTGCTTGTGTCGCGAGATGATGGTAGGTTGGGAGTTGGTAGCCTTTTTGCCTACAATAAGGCCTTATTATTGCAGTGGTGTTGGCGTTTCTTTCATAACCCTAACTTATTGTGGGTCAGGGTGGTGAAAGTCTTGTATGGTTTGGAGTGTCACGCTTCTTCTTTGATCCCAAGGAGAAATTGGTCCGGTCGTTAGAATGGCATTACTCGGATACTTTCCAATCTTAATGACTGTGGTTTTGACTTTCAAATGGTTTGTCCTATTCGGGTAGGGGATGGGCTCGTACTTATTTTTGGCATGATGTTTGGATGGGAGATCTTCCACTTGTTGTTTCTTTTCATAGGGTTTTCGCTTTGGATAACCACCGTACTTCTATAGTCAAAGACCGTATTTCCTTTGGCTGGGATTTGCAAAATTTTAGACGGTTGCCTAGGGGAGGTATTGAGCAGACCCAGTGGGATTCTTTTCTACATTTGATGCAGGTTGCTCAACTTTATGCAATCCCGGACAGATTGGGGTGGTCTCTGGACACCTCTGACATCTTCTCGATTTCTTCGGCTCGTTCTTATCTGGATAGTGGTTTGATTACTTTGGGTGATATAGTCACTAGATGGAATAATTAGGTTCCCATTAAGTTCAGTATTCTAATTTGGAGGTTGCAACTTTAGAGTATTCCCATGAGAGGGAGATTATCTTCCATAGGTATTACGGTGGCGACGATCATGTGTCCGATTTGCTCTTGTACAGTGGAGACTATTGATCATCTTTTTTCTGGATGTTCTGATATTTTGGATATTTGGAGTCGTATTTCTATTTGGTGGGGTCTACGTCTTCCAGATCAGATCTCTATGCAGTCTTTACTTTCCTGGTCTAATGTGGTGAATATGAGGGGAGGACAAAGAAAGGTCTTTGATGCAATTGTGTTGACTACGTTTTGGTGCATTTGGTATTTTCAAAATTCCACCATCTTTGGAACGGTTATCCCAAAAAAGTCTTTATTATTTGATAATGATGTAGATAAGGCTTTCTTTTGGGTCTCTAATAAATATAGTAACGCTAAGTTAGGTTGGACTATTTGACTTCATAATCTAGCTTCAACTATGATTCATGTAATTTCTTTTTCTAACTTCTTACTAGTTTAATATAATTTATTTCTTTCCAAGAAAAAGTTTCTAAGGAATAATTGTTTTAATAGTCTATAAAAATCAGATACACGATTATTAAGAAAAGAAATAAGAAAACACAAATTTATTATTAAACAAACAATTTATATGTAGCGAACTATGAAAAGAAATAAGAAAACAAAAGATTATTATTAAACAAACAACTTGTAGGTAGCGAACTATACTTGCACATTGGCATGTGGTATGAGTAGATGGTCGCTTCGCTGCAAATGTCTGCAAGATTAAAAAAACATATACATATGTTACAAGAAAAATAAAAGAAACACCAATAAATATAATGTATCTTAGTTTTCTTTTAGAACTAATCCTCCATAATAAATAAAAATCTTTTTATCGCATGTTATATTTTCATTTATTTTGCCACATGTAATTTTGTGATTATTTTAAATTAATTTTTATTCTACATGTCATTTTATGGTTTTTTCATTTTATTAGATTTTAGATAGTATTTATATTCAATAATAAATACATATCAATTTCATTAATAAACTTTACTCTAATTTCAAAATTACCAAATTGAAGATTCATTAATTTATTTATCACTACAAGAAATATACTCTTTAGCGGCGACACTATTACCGGCGACAAGAGGCTTTACCGACGACTTTAGATAAAGTCGCCGGTAAAGCCCCTTGTCGCCGGTAATAGTGTCGCCGCTAAAGGGTTGTCACCCGAATCCGCACTTTCCCCCTCTGTTGCATCTCAACCGTTCGATGAGATATCCAATCCAACGGGTGGGGTGTCTTATCCTGTCTAACCTAATACCGGCGACACAGATGTCGCCGCTAAAGGTTAAAAAAAGTCACCGCTAATAGTTCACTAAAAATGACGCGGTACCCTTCCCTCCAGTTTGTCGCTGCTATTACTAATTGTCGCCGCTAAAAGTGTCGCCGCTAAAAGTGTCGCCGCTATTGCCTCTCGCAGATAAAAAAAAACGCACGCAGAAACCCTCCCTTCTTCATTTTCCTTTCTGTTTGCTTCCAATTTCCTTCACCATTTCGCCGATTTCCTCTTCAATTTGCTTCTTCCAAGCAAATTTCTCCCCACATTGTTCCAAGCAAGTATCTTTAGGTGTGGTTAAAGCCTTTGGGACCAATTTCTACCTCCATTTCTTGAAGAAAGGTAAGTTTATTTGGTGATTTCATTTTTATTTTGTATGTTAATTTCGATTTGTAGCTTTATCTAATGATTGAATGATAATAAATTGTTCATATTCTTGTTTTTGGTGGTGTTGTTTTGGATTAGAAGCAAGTTATTCAATTTTTTGTTTGTGGTTATTGAATTGCAATTAGTTGTATAGCTTCCAGTTGTAGTTTAGCCTTTAGGGATATTTATGATTATTAAAAGCTGATTTTGATGACTAAATTGCAATACATTGTTCAATTTCAGTGATTTTAGTGGTGTTGTTCAGTTTTTCCGGTGAGGGTAATTTCGGGTGAAGACTAGTTTTTCCGGCTACATATCCGTTGATTTCCGCCATTACAGGTTCTATTATTTCATTTTTTTTGTGAATTTTGTATTTATATGTGAAATTATGTGAAAATTGTCATATGTGAAAATTAGATTGTATATTTCGTATTTGTTTGAATATATGTGAATTTGGTATATATATTCCAATGTATGTGTGTTTGATGTATATGTGGTATATTAGTATTTGGTAGAAATTATATGTATTTGTTATAAGTAGAATGTTATTGTGTGTATGTGAATGTATGTATGTTTGTTGTAAATGTGATATATGATTGTGAAATTATGTGTATATGTGAAATTATGTGTATTTGGTTTAAGTAGGATGTTATTTTGTGTGTATGTGTATGTATTTGAATTTGGTGTATATGTGGTATATGTATGTAAAAGTATGTGAATTTCATCTTCTTATGTATTATGTAAAATTATGTGGTTTTCTTATAAGTAGGATGCTATAATTGAAAAGAAAATAAAAATTAATAATTGTTATAATTGGAAAAAAAAACCAATAATATATCTTTATATATATCTATATATATATATTATACTATATATCTCTATATATATATATATATATATCTATTGGTTTAAAACTTATATACAAAACTCGAAAGTTTCTAGTTTTTTACCCAAGCTAACTCCACAATTAATTCCCAATAAGTTATATAGTTAACTTATAATCTTCAAATTAATTCATAAGATTATATTTCTATAACCAATAATAATCGGTTACCATAAAAATAGGTTAAAGGATGCTATAATTGAAAAAAAAAATAAAAAAAAATTATTGTTATAATTGGAAAAAAAAACACAAAAAAAATTATAAAATTGTTTAAAAACTTATATATATTTTAATCTCGACGGTAAAAAAGAACAACACAACAACATAATGTCTATTATAAAATTGTTTAAAAACTTACAAGTAATTTTAATTAAAATTAATTAAAAAAATGCATAAATAAAAATTTGTAATTTATTTTTTTTATTTTTTTATTACTTAATTTTTGTATTATTTTAGATGTAAAAAAAATGTGGATTGGAAAAAAAACAATGCTAATTTTGTATTATTTTAGAGTGTGGCTTTTGTTTATGTTTATCATGGCTGCTGTCATGGGTCGTGGACATGGGGGAGACGGAGCTGAGGACCCACCTTTCCCAGGTGGTAGAGGTCCTGGCCAGCACGAACAGGACGGTAAGTCTTATCATGAATTTTTATTTACTATTTTTGTTCAATTATCATAAATTAAATATCGTTTCTAATAACTTTTAATTACATTTGTAGTTGAGGGACGTGCCCGAAGGAAAGTTCGAGGAAAAGCAAAAAATATAAAGCTTGAAAAAGCAATCTTGCAGAACCAGGGGAAACCAATAGACATGCAATATGATAGGGATATCACATTTAATCCCGTAGGAGAGGCGGGAGGCATGTTTTCCCGAGAAGTTGGGAAAACAATGTGGCAGATGGTCCCTTTTGACAAATGGAGTTGGAAAAGAGTTTCCCCTGATATAAAGGACACTGTATTACAACATTTAGCGGTAATTATTTATTTAAATATATTTTATAGGTTTAACTATGATTGTTTTTTACTTGGTTAACTTTTTTTTTGTAGACAAAGTTTGATCTCAATCAAATGTACCAGGATGCACAAGCTGCTCTATTGACAGAGAGTTTTCAAGCAGCCTTGTTAAAAGGTTATCGAGAGCGTAAAGCCGACGCAAAAGAATATTTCAAGATGGTCGGAGGGTATGAAGATATCCCGAGAGCATTGGCCAATCCTCCGGATGGTATGCTTGTTGATAACTGGGTGAAGACAGTTGAGTATTTTCAAACTGACGAACACATAATTGCTTCAGAAAGGAACAAAAAAATCCGTGAAAAGCAAACAAATGTGAATCGTGGGGGTTCGAGCTCGTATAGCAGTACTTGCTATAAGAAGGTACCGATTATTTATTTAAAATATAATCTAATTTTTAAACTTAAACAGAACCTTAAAAGAGTGGAAACATTTCGCAAAGCTCATACCGATAAGAATGGTGTATTTGTTACTGCTGAATCGGAACAACAATATGTAAGTATTTAATTATAATTTTATCATATATTTAAATGTTTATTTATACTTAATTGTTACTCACTTTTGGGAGTTACATAATCGGTTAGTTGAAGAGCTGTTAGAACAAACTCAAGATGAAAGTGAGTTAACGCCCGCTCAAGAAAGAGCTACGTTCGAGAAAGTATTAGGAGAGCGACGTGGCCACATTAGAGGCATTGGCCGCAAACCTTCTGGTCTCCCGACGATTCCACAGCCTTCGCAACCATCACAACCACCATCACAACCATCACAGGTAAAATAGCAATCTACTTTAGCATCGTAAAATGCATGTTGATTTGGTAGTTTGGTTTTGTGGTGGTTATTTGCTAAAAAGTTTGGTAATTTGGTTTTTGTCCCAAGTGCAAAATATAGCAATGTACTTTGGTTTTCTATCTTTGTTTAAAAATAGCAATGTATTTTGATAGTTTTTGTTTATGTTTGACGATCTAACTTATAAGTTTATATATATTGTTATTAATTATGTAGTTGGAAAATCTTCGTGCAATGCTCGCCGACCCGGCATGTAGGGATGAGCTTTATTCGTTTTTTCAATCCCAAAATAATCAAGGAAACGATGAGAACGACAATGATGGTATGTAAGGATGAGTTTTATTTGCATATGTTGTCTCGTTTTGCTACTTGGTAGATTGTAAAAATTTTGTTGTTTTGCTACTCGAATATTATGACTTTTGATATTTAATTGTATTTGGATGTTTGTTTGTAATTTGCATTGACACTATTATGTTTGATATTTAATAGGATGTTTGTTTTGTAATTAGCGTCGACACTATTGGTTTTGATATTTAATCGAATATTGTTATTACCGACGACACTTTTACCTGCGATATTATCACCGGCAACCAAAATCATTATTTAAAAAAAAATTGAAAAAAAATTACCGGCGACACTTTTGCCGGCGACACTTTTACCGGCGACAGACGTCATTACCGGCGACTAGCTTATTAGCGGCGACAATACTCATTAGCGGCGACATAGTCAATAGCGGCGACAAACTGATCAATAGCGACGAGGCAGTAGCGGCGACTCAGTACCGGCGACGCGTCGCCGCTATTAGTATTACAGGCGACTTTTGGGACTTTTACCGGCGACTTTTGGGATCGGTAATGGCCTTTTTCCTTGTAGTGTATTTATTTATCTAAATTATTTGTTTAAATTTAAAAGAGAAACAAACACTTTAATTTTTATAATTCAATATTTCTTACTTTTCTTATAAATTCATACTTTTCAAAATGTTCAGAATTTTGTATTTAGTTTTTTTTTTTTTTTTTTTTTTTTTTTTTTTAAATAAACTCATATAATACATGAATCTCACACCTAGTCACATAATTAGTGGCTAACCCATATACGCTTGTCATCCACCAACCAGATTGAGATTATTTATATAAAGAAAAATTAAGGGAAATCTTCGATAAAATTTTAATATTTTAGGTCAGTTTACGGTTTAATCCTTAAATTTATTTTTTGATCAGAAAAATCCCGAATATCAAATTTTATACGATAATATGTCATTTTATGTTTAAAAAAATAAAGTCTATTTCGTTAATTTGAGCAAAATATGAAATAATCAAGACTTTTATATTAAAAAAATAAAAGTTAAAATTAAACCGTAAAGTAGTCCAAAATATGGAAAAGTTATTGAAGATTTTCCAAAACTAAAATAAATATAATTTTACTAGGACTATGACTTCCACTAAAATATCAATACAATTACTTTAGGCCTTACTCTATACCGTGCATGTTACTTTGATGAAACGTGAAATGTTTTCCCATTTGAGTTACTATCAATTCAAGAAATTTCAGTAATGAATAGCATACCATGGTGACATCGAAATTCGACAAAACGATTGACATAAAAGTTATTTCCGCGAGACATGCATGATATATATGATTTGCAACATAATTCTGTATGCAAGGTTCATATACATGATGTTACAGATTATATATGCATATATGCATACAAGCTTAATTAGTTCTTTTATAGATTGCGGAATGATGATGGTAGGCTTCTTTAGCTAGCTTGAAAAGAAAAATTATCTCAAGTAGGGATTTTTAAACCACATTTGAATAAAGAAGAAGAGGAATTAATTCATCGGTATATATAAATGCAAATCAATTCCACATATATGCATCAACAAAGTCAAATTATTTAAAGTATTCAACATATATGCATAAACATAGTCGTGATGTCACATTTACCATATATATATATATATATATATATATATATATATATATATTTGTATATGCATGACTGCGAAAAATTAATTAACTTGGTTTCTTGTAGGACTTACATGTCATTGCCATTGAATATGATAAGAGAAGCAGGCTGATCGGGCGATAGGCAGAACAATTGCCAAACTACGTATACACATAGAGTAATGCTGTGAAAATTCCAGATTAAACATTAGCCATATGTATCACACTATAATTTGGAATGAGTTCAGATATATGATTAAGGGAATTTACGTTAGCAAATATATATATATATATATATATATATATATATATATATATATATATATATATATATATATATATATATATATAGCTCATCGCCTCATCGTAAACACTTTGGGTGATAAAAAAACAAAATTGACTTGGATCGAACAATTAAATACTCACCTCCCAAAACATAGATGTAGGATTATCCACAAGGAAGCTATTATCCAACTTGATTCTTTGTACGCTATCCACACCTTAAATAGCGTCCACTCTTCTTGTTAAACAAAAAAAGAGGAACAAGAAGTTCCTATAAAGTTTAAGAGTTGCATATTGCAGCATGTGGTAGCTAGATAGATCGATTTGCAATTTAAATTATTTATTGTAAATGCATAAAAAGCCCTAAAATTGGAATCGTGAAACATCGATCATATATCAAGTTAATCGCATGAGAATGAAAGCGACTGGTTTCGTATTAAGCTGCAAATGTCTACGTCAAAAAATGCTACTATCACTCTATAAATGGACAATTTCAAATCGAAGCAAAAAAAATTGATTTTAAAGACCATAATAATGTCAAATAACAAATTTTGTTAGAGCAAAAACAAATTGATCAAAACAAAAGTATATCATTAAGGTAGACATACCGATAACATCACAGCATGGACATAGAGGTCAGTCATGTCTGTTAAGAAGCACCTGTTTTCATATATTATTTATTAATGTCCTCTTTACATTGATTATGAAGAAGAAAGTTAAATAAAGATTGAAGACATATTTACATACTTTGAGAATACTTGAGCATAGGATCCAGATATATCTTTAATAAGCGTGTAAATCAAAGATCCAAGCGTCAAACATGCTAGTGTAGAAAATATTACTCTTGCAGTTACAACAGAGATCCCCGGGGTGTGTTCCCTAAGAAAAAAAATACAAAAATAGAAAATACACGTAAATATCTTTACAATTGGTTTGATATGATTCATGCAAACAGTGACAAATATCAACAAGATAACCCCGTTTTCTCGTTGTGAAACCGGTATTGTTAATTAAAGGTAGTTTAAGAAAGCAAGTAAAAGATGATTTTACCTTGTTCAATTGAAAAGAGAACATGGAGAAAGAAATAATTAGTGTACCTCAAATTTATTTTACGTACACTTTTCACTTCAATTGTAAAAGGTTTACATTTTAATTATAAACACAAATGGAATTCAATATATAAATAGAATGGATAGTACTTCCCACTGCTATATTTTAATGGTCAAGAATATCCTTTATTATTACCTTTTATGACGTCTCACTAACACAAAATATAATGGATTTGTGGAAGATTCTTCACTTGATAACCTGAAGAACTGAACAAGGATGTATCCAATGCTAAGAAGGCTGTAGAAGGTAAGAAAATATGACTATGACACCAATTCTCACAAGTTCCCACGGGTAGTAAATATGATAAAAATTGTATAGTGTATGCTTCAAGAAACAAAAAAATGACATTATTTGAAAGAGGCTCCATGAAGGTTACTTTATTTGTAGACTTGTAGTGAACATAAGTACAATTATTCTTAATACATGAAAAGTTTCAAATCGGAGCTTCCACTTAAAAAAGATAGAGAACTAAAAAAAAATGATTCTGAATTTGATTGCAACGAGAACCATATACAACAAATATCATTTTGTCATTAATAGTTTAAATTTGTATGGACAGCTAGGGTTCATCGTCATGCAGGATTAGCAACTTTCACTGTAGCAAATTAATTAGAGCATCATGTGTTAAATTTATGAAAATTACTCTTTAACTTCACTAGGGAATGACCTTAGTTTTTTGACAAACTTAACTTTCATAACAAAGTGACGTTTGAACATGAGATCATATATTTAAAATCAAATATGTACGTAATTTTAGTTGTTAAAGAGACTTGATCATGCGTGTTGCAACATGCCGGCTCAATTAATTATGAAATTTATCAACTAGTGCTCTGAACAAGAAAAACTAGAAATACATTTTTTTTATGGGTAAATGGCACAAAAAACACTCTTTTTATACAGAAATTCGATTTTGACACCGTGTTTTTTTTTTGTGTCAATTTTGACACGATGTTTTTCAATTTGTTACAATTCTGACCACTTGACCGGTTAACCAGGTTGCATGCTGACGTGGCATGATGACGTGTCAGTTTTGATGACGTGGCATGCTGACATGATATGCTGGCGTGTCAAAATTGAAATTTTTTCTCACAAAAAACACTAAGTTTTCATTTTTTTTTTATTTTGACACTAAGTTTAATTTTTTCTTTCAACTTTGACACTATGTTTTTTTGTTCCAAATCGAACATCATTTTTTCCAATTTTGTTCAATGTTGACAATTTTCTATTTAAAACCGTATAAATATTTTTTTAATACATTTAAACCGTATAAATATGTTTTTTTTTCATTTAAAAACCATAGTTTTGTATAAATACATTTTTTTTACACTCAAACCATATTTTTATGTATAAATATGTATTAGTTATATAAAAATTGTATTTTATATTAAATATGCAACTTTAAAATGTGTTTGGAGGTTTGGAGGCGTGTAGTCGATCAAAACTCGGATATCAAGTTTGCAACCCATCAAATTTTTACATCTTATTAGAAGCTTATGGTTAGTTTGATTCTCATGATATAACTAATGCTTTGAATGTAAGAAAAAAATACACCTTGTATTTAAATAAAAATGTGGTTTTTAAACGAAAAAAATATGTTTATACGGTTTAAAATGTAATAAAAAAAATATATTTATACGGTTTCAAATGTAAAATAGACAAAATTGAACAAAATTTGATAAATGATGTTCGATTGGAACAAAAAAAAACATAGTGTCAAAATTGAAATAAAAAATTAAAGTAAGTGTCAAAATCGAAAAAAAGTGAAAACTAAGTGTTTTTTGTGGAAAAAAAATCAATTTTGACACGTCAGCATATCATGTCAGCATGTCACGTCATCAAAACTGACACGTCATCATGCCACGTTAGCATGTAACCTGGTTAACCGGTCAAGTGGTCAGAATTGTAACAAATTGGAAAACACAGTGTCAAAATTGACACAAAAAAAACACGGTGTCAAAATCGAATTTCTGTGTAAAAAGAGTGTTTTTTGTGCCATTTACCCTTTTTTTATTGTATAAAAAATATGTAAAATGATCATGTTTGAGGCGACATATATAACCTACTCCATAAGTTATATAAAATTAAAAGCCATTTAGCCCAAATGCACATCCACATACCCTTTCAAGTGAAATGCAAAAATGATTCAAAGTTGTTAAACAACTGACAAACAGAAAAAAGATTATCTTCCTAGCAAATACATCAAAACAACGAAAATAGTTGTCTTGATCCAGCTTGATTCCTTGTAGAATACCCACGCCTATAATGACAACCGGTATATAACAAAGTGTTAATTAACTTGTTTAAAAAGAAGATGTGTACAAATATATCCTACTGAATACAAATGATTATAGTTAGCATATGCACCATCATAAGTGCTCTAGGTTTTACTCATCAATGTGCATCAAAAGAAAAAAAAAAGTAAAGGTACCAGTTTGATTTAAAGTGAAGTAGATCACATTACCTAGAGTAATTTTTTATTGTTAACCTGCAGAATTAACCTTGATTACCACGTACAAGTGAGAAAAAGACACAAACAAAACAACAAAACAGGGGAAGAACAGGGACGAAAATAACATACGAGATTAATAATTGTTCACCAAGTTTTTATTAGAAACAAGACCGATAAACTGAATACAAAATATCAAATAAGTTACCCTACGTATACTAAACATAAATGAGTCATTCTCCAACACAAAAGCTGAAAAATAGGAGACATTTTAAAAATACTCTTGACTCTAAAAACGCCCCAGTTCTAAATTAAGCCAATATTTCCCTCCTAATTTATAATGCATTTGTGGAAAATGTTGTTCTTTAGTCTCTATGTGTATGACCTAAATGCCATCATTGTATAAAATGGAACCTTGTATCAATGTGTTTCCTTTTACCATGAAATACTGGATTTTTCATTAAATCCAATGTTCACTTTTTGTCCACATGTAGTATAGTAGGTGTAATGCTTTTTCCTCTTAGCTTAATCAATACCTACTTATCAGTGGCGGGCGGATTCAAGATCAAAGTAAAGGTGTATCCTCAGTAAACAAAATCGCGTAATACACAATATGAAAAAAAAAATTCGAAAAAAATTACACTATTGAATTTTTTTTAAGGGTATCCCGGGCTACCCTGGGATATATACTAGATCCGCCATTGCTACGTATCCATATACCTTGGCATGTTGCACTAGTAGAAACCACAAATTCAGCTTCACATGACGAAAGAGGTATTAAGTATTGCTTCTGAGAAGCCCATGTGACCAGGTTGTTATTTAGGTAAAAAAACTATACATGTTGTACTTCGCCTGCCATTTACATCTCTTGCCAAATCACTATCAATGTAATTGGTCACTTCCATGTCACCTATTTACTTCTACGTGTGTAAGTCAAACAATTACTAGTGGTTCCTCTTATATATCTCACGTTGTATTTAACGGACTAGATGTGTTTACCGGTGGTTTCTTTAATATTTCTCATGATGTATTTACCAGTGGGTTTTTTATAAAAGGATTAACCAATCCTACACCATATGATATATCTAAGCGAGCGTGTGTCCAATATCTTAATCCAACATCAATCCTTCTATACTTTGTAGGATCTATTAGTTGTCGTTTATCTTTCATCAATTATAGTCTTGGTTCGGTATGGTATCTACACGGGTTGCAATCATATGAAGGGGGTTTGTTAGGGGTAACCAAACTGTAGGGAAAATCATCTCGTCAAAAGTGACACGACGAGAAATGATGATCTTACGAGTACAAAGATCATAGAAACAAAACCCATAATGATATGTAGGCTAACCAAGAAAATGTAAGAGTTTGTGGGTAGTGTGAAGGTGGGGAAAAAGTAAACATCAAAAGACACAAATATTATCATAAGTCAGAAGAAAAAGATGATAGTGAGGTGTGTCATTGGCTATGGGCATATATGGAAGAATATTAAGGATGTGGGTGGCTATGTGGAGAGCTTCCGACTAAAAAGTGGGTGGAAGGTGTGAGTGAATGAGGAGAGTGTGCACCATATTATTGATAATGTGAATCATGTGTTCATATTCCCATTTTGCTAGGAAGTGTGAGGGCAAGAAAATCGAAAAGTAATGTCATGGGAAGCAAAGTGGTCATGAAAAGATTTATTATTATATTCCCAACATTATCACATTGAAATTGTTTAATTGTGCCCCCAATTTTTTTTTAAAATATTGAAAAAATGGAGGAATTTCTAAAAGTCTTATAGGTTATTATTGAGTGGATATACCCAAAGATAATGAGACTAATTAATAAGAAATAATATATAATATTGCAAAAAACTATGGACGGAGTTGCTTGGCACCTCGATGTCGACTCAGCACGTCTTGAGGTTGAAGAAGGACCCAAGGGTTTGACAATTCCTATAATCAAGAATCTAGGACTTCGACTCCATTATTGAATTAGCTTCTCCTAGAACTTCTATTCTTAAAACTGTATTTTCACCCTCCTACCGCTGGTAAAGCTAGTAGTCTAATAATTTTTTTTCATGTTAATACATACCACTAGTACATTTTCATTGACCACCAAAACCACCCATAAGTTCTGTTGCCCTGCACGATTGGTGCTTGAAAAGATAAAACTCTCGTCGTAGTTTGGCAACCTAAGGGGATGAAACTTTTTTTTATCTAAAGGAGAAAACTCTGAAGTGAGTGAGCAATCGACCCAATGGGTGAACATGTCGGGCTCCGACGGAATGGTTATGATTACAACAATAGTGAACCTTCTGGGTATTGACTACGAATAGATCTTCTTATATATATATATATATATATATATATATATATATATATATATATATATATATATATATATATATATATATATATATATATATATGAGAAATTAAATATCTTCCTACCTTTTGATCCTACTAATCCTCCTACCCATTTAAATGATGACATGTGTCATACTAGTATCTTAAAATATCATTAAATTTCATTACATGGGCATTAAATGTTACACATGTCACCATTTCATTGGGTAGGAGGATATGCTGGAACAAAAATTAGAAGGATATTTAATTTCTCATATATATATATATATATATATATATATATATATATATATATATATATATATATATATATATATATTGTATTTAATTTTGGGCTTGACCAAAAATCAATTTTAGGTTAAGTCGTTTTTGTAAATAGATATTCTTAGCTTGGGGGTGTCATGCCACAATTCTACCATGGAAAAGACTCTCTGTATAAGCTCTAAATAGCATTATTGGTTGCATAGTGTTGTGAAATTTATTTTGAAATCATGGAGAGAGAGAGAGAGAGAGAGAGAGAGAGAGAGAGAGAGAGAGAGAGAGAGAGAGAGAGAGAGAGCTCGGTATAAATCAGCTGAGCTCGACGTAGCTGCACATGGAACCGGTGAGCTGACATGGTGGTTACCACATATTAGGTGGCAAACCGCCCTCGAAACCACACCTACACTCTTCAGCCTTATTTGAGTGCATCCTTAATGCCGAAAGTGTGTTTGATTATAAATAAAGACATCACGTCGTCGTGTATTTTTCAAATGAGAGGATAAATAATTTTGTTAACGTCATACTAGGTAAAAGAACTATCTAAAGTTTTTGAAGATACCATAAACTAAAAAGAATATCATTAAAAGGTAACAAAATTTTACTTTTATTTTTAAAATATTATTATGACCTGTGATAAGCATTTTCTCCGGGTCATAATAATAATTTTTTTAACAAAACTTATAGCTTGTTATATTTAATGTCTTTTTTAGTTTAATTGTATTTTCAAAACACTTTCCATAGTTTGTTACCTCTTCATAGTTTTTTTCGTTCACAATTTAATAATCATATTCTTTTCATTTTTAGCACTTGTCTATTGTTTAAGAAACATAAATTTTATTAATTTTCTAATCTTAATATTTATATAAGTATAAATCTATTTTACAAAAAAAGTATTATGTTACAACATTCACAATTTAATAAAGTCATCATTGAACTATGGAGTTGTAATATTGATATTCATCTCTAATTATAGAATACAAAACTATTAATTTTGATATGTTTGGTTATTTTTGTAAAACAATAAAAAGTATATAAAATTAAAAATATTACTATACCTCTTTGTTTGATGTAACCAGTTAAAATGACTTCATTCACTTCAATTTTACTTAATATTTAAAATATTAGCTAGGCTTCTGCGTTTCATCTAGCATTTTAAAATGGCTTCATTCATTTTGGTTTTTCTAGAAACCTCATATCTATCTTGACATCTTATCCACTTATACCTTTAAATTTATCTAAGTCTATTCTTTTGATCTAACAAGTTAAAATGCATATAGATTCAAATAAGTGATCAAAATCACAAACAATTATTAAAAGTAAAATATGAAAAAATGCAATTATTAAATTGTGAACTAAAAAAATGAAAAATGTATCGTATAAAGTATTTTAAAAATATGATTTAACAAAAAAGACATTTATATACATATTAATTTTTGGTTCCCTAATGCTCAGTACCTGGTGGGTTTTATTTTTTGTTTTTGTTTTTTTTTTATTTCGTTGGTTTAATTTTAGTTTATTTTTCAACGTCATTTCCATGTGGTGTTATCTGTTTAACCATTGTTTCCCCCGACTCGATAAGCCAATTATATTGCGATTGGTGTCATCGGTTCTTCCAAGAATGAGTGCTTCTTCCCGGTCTTCTCACCGCCTCCGCCGTTGTATTGGAAAAGCCGGGTGGATTTATATGATCAGGATTTCTTCTCGATGCTATCCACCGCCATTAGCTCCACCATCTTCTACTTTCTGCTTTCTTCGTTTTATCGCTTCAATTTCATTTTTGATTTGGTGTTTGATTATTTGGTGTTTTGTGTGTCTTTCTCGCTTTCCCTCTTCGATTAGCACACAAATCATCCTCCTTAACAAAAATCTTCAGTCGAACCTCATGAACTTCTTCCCATGTGGTTGCTTGCCACCACAACCTACGATCGGTGTGTCGGACAACGATTGCTCATTTTTTGTTGGTCGACGTATGTTTCTTCCGTTCGTTTCCAATACTTCCTGAGGATATGATTGCTGTTAGGGTTAGACGATCTCCAATACCACGCAGTCTAAATCCGATTTCGAATTGGAGTCGCCTCCCTAAGGTTTTCTATGAGCAAAAGGAGACAAAGCATCAAATCAGGTAAAACCAACTTCAATGATCCTTTCTCAAAATCGGAATCCTCGAGTTCTTTTATCTTTCATTCAGCTGCCACAAAGGAGGCCGATAATGACAATGGATTGAACTCTACTGCAAGAAATTCAGCTGTATCCAAGGATCCTTTTCAAAAATCGGAATCCTTGAGTTCTTTTAGCTTTCATTCAGTTAGTGGTTTATTGGGTATCATGGATCTGATGATGAGGGCGGGTGGGAATTCTTGGATGCCTACTCAGAGTCCAAGTTAGCGCAAAATGGGAAGGATAATAAGGTAATGATTGCTGCTTCATGTTAGTAATGAGATTGTAATCCCTTTTCTGGAATTTCACTTGATGTGTCTGCTTACAATTACACTCTGCCATAGGAAAGGAGTGCACCTTGACTGTTTGAATCCTCTCTTGAGGAACTTTTTGAGAAGACTATGTCTCCCCCCGAGTTTACAAGACGGCTCACTGTTGTCCTAATGATCTATTTGGAGCACCAAACAATGGAGTTTTTGTTGAATCTCATGTAACTGATAGTAGATTCAACTCCAAGCCAATCACAAACATTCATAATTGCTTTAGAGTTGACATAAAATCTAATTCCAAAGATACCACAAATGAGTTAAATTCATATCCACTTGGTGGGAGTGTTGATAATTTTGGGGAGTTTGAGGCTGCATTTATGGAACAACCATCAAAGAGAAGGTACACAATCACATGGTTTTTTTTGAAGCTGATGAAAAGTGGCACAAATTCTTTGATTTTTTTTCAAAGCAGTTGTAAAGGTATCATGGTTTTTATTGTTTTTTATTAGTTTCATCGGCTTTGTCTATAGCTGTGATTGTCTTCATTTTTAGGGATTTAATGACTCAAATGAGAGGGTACCATTTTTTACTATATTGTTCCAGTATCCTGCATACAATCTGCAAACGGACTTTTGTTCTTCCTGGTCTTGGTAACTTTTTTTTTGACTTTTTTTTGTTCTTTTATCTCTGTTCCTGCAAGGAATATGATCGCTTGCCTCCATCATAACCCAAGAACACGATTCAGTTATACCCCAACCACTTCATATTGACATTTGAAAGAGAGTCTGACTACGCACCCCAACTGCTCGATGAAATGCTTGAACCAAGATGCCTAGAAAAGATCAGTTTTTTTTTTCTTCTGGAAATATGAAAAAAAAAAGGTAATTGTTTATGAGTTTAGGACATGTATTCATTATGTGTTAAACATTTTTTACTTCATTTTAATTTGATCTAATTATAACATTTAGTAATTAGTTTTCATCATCAACATTTATATGTTGTTTTTTTGTAAAATTGTTGGTTATACACTTCTGTTTAACCATCTTTGCTCCTCCGTGGAAAATAGGTGATTTCCATTCAGAAAGATTAGGCGAAATGTTCCTTCTTAACCAATTTTTTATTTTTTTTATTTTTATTTATTTATTTTTTTTTTAATTTTTAATTTTATCTAATTATACACTTCTGTTTAACATTTATATGTTGTTTTGTTTGTAATTTTTTTTTTGTTAATTCTTCTTTTTAACTTTTTGACCAGATTATTTTTTTAGTTTTTACTTTCTCTATATCATATTTGATGTTTGTAAAGAAATATAAGTAAAGTGCTATTATTGGTATTAACTAGAGAGGAAGGGGTATAACTGGAAAGTTGAAGGTCGGTAGATGGTTAAAGAGTTTTAGAGGTAGGGGCATAATTGGGAAGTTGAAGGTAAGCACAAATTCATTTATATTCTAAAGTAAAATTTTTATTGTTGATTCATTGGGTACAGTTTTTATTAATTTGGATTTTTTTGCTACATTTTTAACGAATGTGTGGTCTTCATAAATACTTTTACATTTTTAATTGTTTTGTATCAAGATTGTTTTTTGATTTCTTAATCATCTTATTTGATTCTATTACAAGTCGCAGATCGACTTTTCTTTTTAATCATTGAATCATTGGTGATTTTGGAGAGCAGTTACACATGTAATTTTCATTGATAAAGACTACTTTTGTGGTTTATTTATAAATTATAACTATGACAGGTAACGAAAGAGGAATTGACAACAAAAGACGAAGTAGACGGATTCCGGAAGCACGTGACGGGTTTGGCTGCTTTAGACTTCTTCGTGTGCTTGGAATCCGATATTTTTTGTAATGACACATGGAGGGAATTTTGTGAAATTAATAATTGGTGCAAGAAGGTAGATGTCAAAAGAAATCGGAGGTGTCTTTTATGGAATTCCAATCTTGGACCTTACACGGGAACAAATTCATTTCTGAAATAAGTTCTCATCTCTAGGATTTCATGTATGTAAGTTTTTAGTTATGGAAACTTAGTTATCCAATTTGCTTTAGGATTCACTATCTGTAATTTTATGATATTGGTAGTTATAGCTTTTTCGAATGAAAATTTTATAATGTTTGCATCCAATTCTGAATATTTGTTGCTGATATTTTCCATGGGTAGCAAAGTATAGGGGCGCAAACGAGCCAAGCTACTCGTGAGCTACTCGAGATCGGGTCGTTAAAAGCTCGACTCGAAACCGATTTTAAACGAGCCCGAGCTTAATATTAAGCTCGTTTATTAAACGAGCTCGAGCTTGAGCCTATGTCAATAAGCTCGATTAGGCTCGCTAGCCTAAACGAGCTTTTATATAATATAATTTATTATTATTTTTATATATTAAAATAAAAATATATTTGGGGAATTAGGAATTTATGGTATTAATAAATGAGCTTCTTAACGAGCTCGAGCCGATCTTAAGCTTATTTAGGCACGTTGAACAAAAAACGAGTCAAGCCCAAGCCCGAGCCGAGCTCAGTATAAGAAAGCTCGAATCGAGTCGAGTTCGAGCTCGAGCCTCGTATAACTTAAATGAGCCCGACCCGAGCCTGACCAGGCTCGGCTCGTTTGCACCCCTAGCAAAGTAACAACACCTTCTGTAAGGGGCTCGACAGATTCCGTATTCAAAGGTCATAGGATGATATGAAACCATTAGCATGGTTGTATAGCATAACTCATTTTTTATGTAAAGAAATATAAGTACATTGCCATTATGAGAAAAGTGTTGTAAAGATGTTGCAGTTATGTGTATACAAATGTAAGTCCATTGTTAATAATAAAAAATGAAATTATAACTTTCATTTTAAAAAATTTTTGAATTAAAAAAGATATGAAAATATAACAAGCTTTAACTTTTATTTTTAAAATGCTACTATGACATGTAATAGCTTTTTTCCTGGACATAATAGTATTTAATTATTTACAAAACAGATGTTATAGTTTGTTATCTTTTAATGATATTTTTTTTAGTTTAGTGGCATTTTTAAAACATTTTAGATAGTTAGTACTTAGCTTATAATAATATTAACCCTTTTAAAGAAAAATTGATTCCTACATAACAAGTTTTTTTTCCATACACAACAATTTAGGTCTAAAAATGTTACGTTGTATAACTCCATAAGATATAAATTATTATTAGGTCTAAAAATGTTATGTTGTATAACTCCATAAAATATAAATTATTATTTATGGAGAAAACTATTATGTAAGAATCTTTTCTCTTTATAAAAACGAAGTCTATGTTTTGGTTAGTTCACCATCAAAAGCCTAAACTCTAAAGGACAAAGAAGCAACAAGTTAAACTTATAAATGAATAAATGATAAGAAGATTCATACGCCTATAACAGCAAGATACACGGCAAACTCCACTTGAACTGCTATCCCCCACCTGCAACAAATTCCATAATAAAAATAAAAGTTAACAAAATAATTCATGAGGAAACTGATTAAAACGCAAAAACATCAACAGTTTACTTAAATCTTAAATTTCTCTACCATATGATTTGACATTCGTAACAATAAAATACAAAACAAGTCTTGAAAACAAATCGGTGATAGCTTGTACTTTTATTACCTGGTTCCCAAGTTGAAACAAGAAATAAAACCATCGATGGCGAATAAGTAAGCAAACCCAGCTACCATTACGCAAAACAATACCATCAACAACACCCTCACCGCCACCCCCACGGCCGTTGCTGTCACCATTATTGCTTCAATGGCTGTATGTTGGGAAGCACGTCAAGTTTTCGAGTGTTGATAAGTTAGATGATGAATATATAGTAGGGCATGTCTATTTTTAGTAGGGTGGTCGGATGTACAGCTGTGGATGTGGAAGGGTATGCAAATGCATTCCCTTGATTAGTTATTAGACTTAATGTTATTTAATATATATATATATATATATATATATATATATATATATATATATATATATATATATATATATATATATATATATTAAAGGTTCAAATGAGAACCAAAAAAGGTTAAGAACCTCTAATTTTAGATGTTTATAAAGGGTTTAGGGTTTAGGGTTTAGGGTTTAGGGCTTAAGGTTAAGGGTTTAGGGTGTTTATAAAGGGTTTTGGGTGTTTATAAAGGGTTTAGGGTTTAAGATTTAGGGTTTAGGGTTTAGGGTTTAAGGTTTAGGATTTAGGGTTTAGGGTTTTGGGTTTAGGGTTGCCCTAACCTTTATAACCATCTAAGTTAGAGGTTCTTACGGTTCTTAACCTTTTTTGGTTCTCATTTGAACCACTCCCTATATACTCTATATATATATCTTATCTATATATATATAATATATATATATATATATATATTATATATATATATATATTTATATCTATATATATATATATATACTAGTTGTAAGATCTGTATATTATACGGGTTGATTAAAACAAAATGTTAATATAAATGATTAAAGGGAAAATTTATTTGAATTTGAAATTTGAAATAACTGAAAATTATGATAAAAATAAATAAATTAGTTAAAATTATGTGTTTAGTTATCAGATTTATGTATTAAACGGGTAAATTATAACAAAATGCTAAACACAAAGATTTAAACTATAAATTTATTTGAAATTGAAATTAAAATTTAAAATTTGAAATTTGAAATTTGAAATTAATAGTAATTATGATAGGTTTAATTTATAGAAACTAAACTAATGATATATTGGAAATGAAAAATGAAGTAAATAACAAGTGGAAAATAAATAGATCTTAAAATTATGACACAATGACATGTGACCAATTGAATGAGAGAAGGACATGTGACAACTATATTTGACACAATGGAATTTTTTTGAAATACTTGTCACTCGGTGTAAAACCGTGTATTACACGGGTTGATTAAAAAAATTAAATATTAAAATATAAACATTAAGCATTTTTTTAAATAAAATTTTGAAATAAAGAAAGAAAAAACGTATTAATTACAATTACTACCATGTTTATTACATTTAATACTTTGCATATATAAGTATTATGTGATTTTTAATTTTAAAAATTATAAAAACTTAGAAACTAACATGTGGATAGTATTTAATTTTAAAAATATCATAAAATGACAAATGTCAAAACTCATGAGAGATTGATATGTGGCAAAATGGATCTTCATTTATTATAGTTGATTAAACGAATTCCATACCTTGTAAAGTTACTTGCATGCCAAGATTAAAATCCAAACCTAATAAAAGGAAAATCCGCCACACAAATGGCAACTATATTTGACACAATGGAATTTTTTTTGAAATACTTGTCATTAAACGAAAAAAGAAAAATCACAAATCTTAAAGTTAGGTTTTATCAACAAAATTAAAAAGATACAATCCGAAAGTGAGAATCACCGGTTTTTTCCGTCTTGATAATACCTTGCTGATCGCTTTTGGCCTCTTTCTCTACAGGTTGCTTTTGTTTATGCAGTTGTGTCAATTAAATAGAGAAATTACTTTCTTGTTATTGTAGCAAGTAGATTTAACTATTAAAATAACGATCATGTGTTTGCTAATGTGTGCCAATTAAATACAAAAATTACTTTTTGTTAATGTAGTAAGTAGCTTTAACTATATTACAATAATGATTAAAAAAGTAAATGTGTTGTGTTTGAATGTGCAGTCAATTTCCTTTTCTATGTTAAAGCATGCAAGTGGCATATAATATATTGAATTACTTTTTTCCATAGCACAGAAAAGTCTATACATACAATATCAGAATCGTACATTAGAATATGATTTATGTTTTCTACTATTTTGATCTTGGTCTATAAGTATGAATTATAGATTTTAGTTCTGTTTAATTTCTAAATTATTAATTGTATTAGTCTTCTCAGGAAAAATTTATTTTGACGACAACAATTAATGAAGATAAAAACAAGTTATCAAACGCTAGAAGAAAATCGGAACATTAGATTGGTTTGTTAATGCACAAAAGAAAACAAAAAAAAACCCAAGCCAATTCTTCCTCAACGCCCAATAATATTAGACATTCCATTGAAGCTCTTGATATGAAAGATGTATATGTTCTGAGAGGAAGAAAAAAAAAGTTGGTAAACTACACAATTTTCATCGTTTCTGAGTTGAAGTCTTTGTTGCTATCGTTGATTTACAACTTCAAGAGTTGAAGAACCGATTTCATAAGGTTAGTACAGATTTACTTCTTCATATGGCTAGCCTGAGCGATAAGAAACTATTATTGCCCTTGCAAAACTTTATCTCAGTGAGTTTGTAAGTGTTGAATTAGTTAGTCTTGGTGATAGCTTCATAACTACATTTATGATATGAAAAAAAGGAAAATTAAATGGATTGAAGGATCTTAAAGAACTCTCTATGGAGATGGTGAAATCAAACAAAGATAAAGTGTTTGATCATATCTTTTTACTAACTAGGTTTAAATCCGTAGAAACTATGGTCGAGAAAAAAAAACGTTATTTATAATTTGAAATCGTAATAACTAATCAAATAATTACAAAATAATTATTAATTTACAAAAATAAATGTTTTGTTAGTAATACAACATTACTATACAATTTTTTTTTGTAATGGCGGAAATTTAAAAAAAAACTAGATGGAAACCAGAAAAAAAAAGCATTACAACAAAATTGTAGCAAAAATAGGATTATGAAGCCAAAAAGTCCAGCTAATCTTGACTTTTGTGCACCTATTAAAAATCCAAAAAAATGTCCTATAAAAACATCATCAAAAAGCAAAGAGTTCATAGGGGAAGCTGCTCCAAAAATCGAAGAATTTCTAAAATTCCAAATGCACCAAAAGGAAGTCAAAACCTTCGCATTAAAGGCATTTCGGTGATCGGCTCACAAAGAAGTAGAATTTGATCACGAGATAAGAGACTCCACTAAAAGCTGAAGTGGCACCTGGATGTCCCACTAAACGACAATATGCGACCATAAAACAATCAACTCAGTACAACCGACAAAGATGTGCTCAATTGTCTCCACACTACAGGAAAAAATGGGACAAAAAATCGAATCCAACAAAATATCCCTATGAGAT